GATGTATAATTTCATGTTGGGTGCTTAACTCAGTTTTATTATCTCTAAAGCAAGAAGTTGATTAAATCATTTTACTTCTAATGACTTTCTAATTCTAAATTCTATAAGAAGTAATGTCAACTTTGCTTACTATTACCTTAGTCTGCAAACCAACATAATTAGAATCTTGATCTTAGAAAAGAGATTTGTCCCAATGTTTTTATAGCATTAGAACTTCAGGGCCACTTAGCAACAAAGCCCCTTATATCTGCTAGCAGGTATTCTTTCTATGTTTTGCTTTGGGGTTTTTTTTGGGGGGGGGTTGTTTTGTTTTGTTTTTTGGTCTTATTGAGAGAGGGTTTCACTCTGCAGTTCAGGCTGGCCTTGAACTTGTAATGATCTTCTTGCCTCAGCCTCCTGAGTGCTAGGATTACAAAAGTGTGCCACCATGCCCAGCTATGTTTTGCTTTGTTATGTTGAGTTTTGTTTGAGACAAGATCTCACTTACTTTGAGTTCACTTGGTAGTGCAGACTAGCCTTGAACTTGTGGCAATCCGCCTGCCTCAGCCTCCCAAGATTAAGGCATGTACCATGCCACCATGCCCAACTATCAACAGACATTTTTAAACTTCAGCCATACATCACTTACTTTTCACTTAGTTATTATGTTCAACAAATGCTAACTAGCTGGACTTGGTGGTGTGTGTCTGTAATCCCAGTACTCTGCAAGGTTAAGGCAGGAAGATCACAAGTTCAAACCTAGCCTGGGCAACTTAGCAAGACTCTGGGTCAAAAAAAAAAACCTGAAAAAGACTCAGATATAAGGCTCAGTACAAAAGCCTTGAGTTCAATCCTCAGTACCACTGGAAAACAAAAAATAAACTTCTTCCAAACATTTTTCTCAGCTACTTAGTCCTTCCTACTGGGAAGCAGCATCACTACCTTGTTGAGTGTCCTTCTAAACGTAACATACGCACATACAGGCACCCGAACATGGTTGTCCCCCTCCTCCCCATTTTACACAAGTAGTAGAGTTTTTTACTCACTGCGCTGTCTCTTAACACTCTACATTATGTTTCCTAGATTTTGTTAAACATTTATATATAAGTACCTTTCCCCTACTCTTTTTTTTTTTTGTTTTTGCTGCCAGAGATGGACTTGAAGGTCTCGTACAGTAAATGCTTTTTCATTCCTGGACATTGAACCAGGGCCTTCACTTTGAACTACATCTCAGCCCTTTATTTTTTAATTTAATTTAATTTAATTTTTTTTGGTGTCAGGAATCAAACTCACGACCTTGCGCTTGCCAAGCAGGCACTAATGCCACTGAGCGAAACCCCTGGCCCAGGCCTTTATTTTTTTTATAGTTTGTTTATTTTGTGATACTGGGAAGTAAACCCACAGCCTTGGCACTTAGCTACATTCCCAGCCCTTTTTATTTTTATTTTTATTTAGGGGCTGGTTCTCACTAAGTTGCATATAGTGAAATCAAGCTTGTTTTTCCTGCTTCATCCTGCCAGAATGCTGGGATTTGAGGCTTGGATTTTTTTTTTTTTTTTTTCTTTTTTCCTTTTGGTACTAGGTATTCAAAGGCTTTCACACTGAGCTATATCTCTAGACCTTTTAATGTTCAGAAAAGTTCTTGCTAAATGGCTAAATTGTACAAGCTGGACTCAAATTTACAATATTCCTACTTCAGCCTCCCAGAGGTCTGGGATTACAGACCTGTGTCCCCACACACAGATAACATTGTTTTCATGGCTTCATAACTATGTAGAATCCATGGTGTGGATGTGCCACTAAGTAACTAATAGCTGAAATGTGTTTGTTTCTAGACTTTCACTTGGTGAGTCTATAAAGCAGTGTGTCACAAGGTGAAAGTCTTAGTCAAGCTTTTGAAGGCTGGTAAAGGGCGGGTACTAAGCTCTAGCCCTTAATGGGTGGTGCTCAGCAGTGTGTATATGCCTGACAGTGCTCCTTCCGGGGGCACTTGGCCTAGCAGCTTGGTGGAGCCTTGAGGAAGGGTGTTGCATTGGTGATAGGTTCTGTTCCTTCAGGCAGGCCATCACTCTTGCTCGAGCAGCCACAGGCCACTTTCCGGAGTCTGAACCCTTCGTGCACACAGACCCAGAGGAATCAGAGGAAACCAGGTTCCTGAATCTCTTAGGAATTATCTTCAAAGGTAATCCTTCCCCTTCAGTCAACAATAGCATCTCAGCTAGACTTTATTAAGCATTCACTTTATGCCGGCTAACAGAATTCAGTGCTGAAAGAGGCCGAGGGTCAGGTATGCTTTTGCTCTGGAATGGGAGCAGCTCTGTCACACAGTGGCTATCCAAACTAGAGAAGTTTCAGGGATCTTTTTGACAAGTGAACCAAGATATTTTAGAATAGGTTCTAGTTTCATACGTCCACATTTTAGAAAGAAACAGCCAAGCGTGTTGATAGCCGCTGGATTCCTCAATGCATCCTTCAGCAGAAACTGCTCTGTGCTTCCCTAAATCCCAGGCCCAGCAGCTTCCACTCAGGACTGCAATGGAAGCATAGTCCCAGGACAGTCAGATGCTCCCAGTGCGTCAGAGCCCGAGGGCTCCAGGGGCAGTGATGAGCTGGTGAAGCAGGAGATGCTGGTACAGTACCTGCAGGACGCCTTCAGCTTCTCCCAGAAGATCACAGAGGCCATTGGCATCATTAGCAAGATGATGTATGAAAATACGACTACAGGTAGGCCGGGCCCACAGGAAGACTGGGGCTTGTTCATGTGCATTGATCTCGCTCTGCTCCTTTAGGAGGCAGGGTTTCTTCTCCAACTTACTGCTCTGTGTTGTCCTCCTTAGCTTATGCATTTTGAGGTGTAGTATTTCGTGATGAAGCAGGACAGGAGTCAGTAATCACGGGTCAGTGAGGAAGGCCTCGGCTTACATGTTACTGCAAAGGGTGACTGGGTTCTAACTGAGCACTGGGGTTTTGCCAAGTAGATGAGTGACATGTCTGTCCTCGCAGTGGTACAGGAAGTGATTGAGTTCTTCGTGATGGTGTACCAGTTCGGGGTGCCGCAGGCCCTGTTTGGAGTACGCCGAATGCTGCCTCTAATCTGGTCCAAGGAGCCTGGTGTCCGGGAAGCTGTGCTGAATGCCTACCGCCAGCTCTACCTCAGCCCCAAAGGAGACTCAGCCAGGTCTGCAGGTTCTTCTCCTTCCCTTACTGTTTTTCTCTGGTTTTTCTGGCCTCCTAAAGGAAGGGGCATCTTGCTGGAGGAGTTCGTACTCCATGGGCAACAGGACTGTTGTAGGGCTATGAGAGGGTCTCAGGTCCAGTGAAGCCTGTCATCCTAAGCAGTTACTTGATACCCTCACTGTTGTTAAGTTCACTTTGCTTGTCTCCTGATGTCCCTGATCTCTGCTGTTTGTTCCCACAGAGCCAGGGCCCAGGCTTTGATTCAGAATCTCTCTTTGTTGCTGGAGGATGCTTCAGTTGGGACCCTTCAGTGTCTTGAGGAAATTGTAAGTCTTGTTGCTTTTCTTTATTCACTCAACAAGCACATTTACTATGTATGCAGTAATTTACTCAGGCCCACAAGGTAGTATAAGACTTTCATACTCCCAGTCTTAAAGAACCAGCAGTCCAGGTGATAGTCAAAAACATGAAACATGCTTAGAACAAAAGCAACATGTAGACAGATAATTAAGTGCCAGAAATAATGGCAAGATAATGACTAGTAGTGATAATAAAACATGTATGTAGTATCTAACACGGCCAGAGCCGTTCTCAGCACCTCACTTCTACTAACCTGGCTAGCCCTCTCCTGTGGAGGTCATTTTCTCTGCACTCTATACTGAGATGTCTGGGGGCCCCAGGGGAGGGGAGGAGCTCAGCTGGTTACACACAGTGGGAAAGAGCTGTCTGAGGTAGAATGGTCAAGGGAACTCCATGAAAGTTCAGGACCTAACATGATCTTGGAAAATGAGTGGGACTGAGAGTCTGACAGGAGGCAAAGGATTTTAGAGAAAAATCTATGAAAGACCAGAGCCCATGTTGCACAATAAGGAAGCTTATGTTCTGTGTCAAAATTATTATCTGGAAAAGATAATACAGTTAAAATGCAGGCTGGAGCTGAATTGTAAAGGTTTCTGAGCACCTCCAAGAGCCTGGGCCTGGAACCTTGTTAACCAAAGCCCTGGCATTTCAGTGAGACACATCTCCTTTGGAGACTTTGCACCATGGGGACAAACAGTAGAGTAGCTACTGATGGTTGGCTCTACTGGGCCGGGGGGGACTACTGCCCTACATTAGTCCCTTGCTGAGGAAAAGGAGACCGCCTGCTGTGGCGCCTACACAAGGCCTCCTGGGCTGGCTGTTGGATAGGAGCCTGCAGGAATCGAAGGAGGGCGTGCAGTGATAAGCAGCAGCACTGACAGCCAGGAGGCACATGTTCCGGAGTGCCAGCCCAGCGGCAGCTGATAAGCTGGCTGACGGGAGCTCAGGACAGGACAGGAAGGCTTGGAAGCTACACAGGTAAAGTGACAGGGTGAGGCTGCGAGTCTGGAGGTGTAACTATGGAATTGGGACTTACTAGAAGACAATCTTGGTTTTGTTTGTTGGTTTGTTTTTGAGACAGGGTCTCTGTGCAGTTCAGGCTGGCCTTGAGCTCACTTTGTAGCCCAGGCTGGTCTCAAACTCATAGTGATCCTCCTGCCTCAGCCTCCCAAGTGCTGGGATTACAGGTGTGAGCCACTAGAAGACAATCTTTAAAGGACAGATAAGAGTAACTGACAGAGTCATAAAAAGAATTCGGTGATTGAAATTGTTTAAGCTTATGTAACTAAGAGAGTGCTGGTAATGTTGGCAAAATGAAAGGGCAAGACAGAGTGATGGTTTCTACTTCAGACAGGTTGACTTTGTGGGATCCACAAGAAAGTGAAAGAAGTCCCCAGAATGGAAGCAGGACTAGGAATTGACATGGAATCCGTATCAGTCAGCTTTCAGCTTTCCTGTCTTCAAGACAAAATATCTGACCCTCATAATTTCAAGGAAAAGTTTATTTGGTTCAGCTTTAATAATGGGTTCAGTCCTTGGCTGCCGGCTCCAGTGCGGGAAAGGTATGGCCGAGGAAATCTGCTCACCATGTGGTGGCCAGGCAGGCAAGAAAGCAGAGAGGAGGAGCTGGAAGGAAAGCACAGGCCCTTCCATGTCACCCCCAGACACCTGCCTCTTCCCTGAGGCCCGGCTCCAAACTGCGCGTGAAGCCATGAAATCATTAGTGGGTGAGCTCTGCTTCCTGACTGCTGGGCTTCTCTGCCATGACACCCTTTCTTGGTGCCCTCTGGCCATGGACTGAAACCCTGCAAACTGAGCCACAATAAAGCTTTCTTCCTTTTAGAAAAAAAAAAAAAAAAAGAAATCAGTGAGTGAGTACAGCACCTCCATGATGCAGATACCTTCCAAGAACCCTACTTCTGAAAGTGAGATGCCGGGGGATATTTTAGTTCTATAAACAACTCAGGAAGGTCAGTTTCGATGTGTCACTTTAGCTAGTGTAGTTTTAAAGACAAAGTCAGAGAATGGAAGGAAAAGGTTATATCGTCCATTGTTTGAGAGGTTTCGGTCCATGGTCAGTTGGTTTTGGGGTTGTAATGAGGCAGCACGTCATGGTGGGGAGCACGTGGGCATGCTCACCTCATGGCCACCAGGAAGTGAAAGAGGTAGCAGTTGAGGTCCCAACATCCTCTGCCATCTGGGAAGGAAGAAAGGAAGGGTGGAAGGAAAGAGAGAGAAGAAGAAGAAAAAGGGGAAAGAGAGACACCTCTTCGACACAACCTTACAAGTTGGGCTTCTTTCTTTTCAGTTCTGAATATTATTTTTATTTTCTCCAGGTTCTCCAGTGTCTGAAGAAGTAGACCAACAACACTGTTTTCTGAGCTGACCTCTTTTTCTTTTTTCCTCAGCTTTGTGAGTTTGTTCAAAAGGATGAGTTAAAACCAGCAGTGACCCAGGTGCTATGGGAGCAGGCCACCAAGAAGGTCCCCTGCTCTGCTCTGGAGCGCTGTTCCTCTGTTATGCTTCTTGGCATGATGGCGCGGTAAGTAAGGCTCGGGTCTGCAGGCAGCGGGGTAGGAGGGGCAAGGAGGGTTCTAAGCTCATCTTTCTCGTTCCTAGCAGCAACCAGGCCCCACTGAGCTCTGCTTGGCATTGGCCCCTGAATAGAAAGAGAAGCAGCCCCTTGCCTCATAGCAGTAGTTCAGGAGAGCAAATGAGACTCACAGGGCTGGCCATGTGGCAGGGCGTCCCACAGTATTGCCGGCTTGGGAAACCCCACAGTGGCACTGTCTTCCCAGAGTGGCATCCAGGACTGCCTTGACTGTGGCTTCCTTTCCCTAGAGGAAAACCAGAAATTGTGGGAAGCAACTTAGACACGCTGGTGAGCATAGGACTGGACAGGACGTCTCCACCGGACTACAGGCTGGCCCAGCAGGTGTGCCAGGCCATCGCCAACATCTCTGACAGGAGGAAGGTAGGCAGCATGGCCACCGGCCAGCCCAGGGGCAGGGGTCCTCCCACCCTACACCCCACACGGTCTTCCTTGGTCTTTCTCCACAGCCTTCCTTGGGCAAATGCCACCCTCCCTTCAGGCTGCCTCAGGAACATGTGTTATTCGAGAGACTTCGGGACATGGTCACAGCAGGTGAGCTATCCAAAAGGGCCTGGGGCAGGCCAGGATGGGGCCGCCCTGTGGTGAGCAGTTTTCCCCTCCTGTGTAGGCTTTGCCCACCCGGACCCACTGTGGATCCCATTCAAGGAGGCAGCAGTGACACTCATCTACCAGCTGGCAGAGGGCCCCGAGGTGCTCTGTGCCCAGATGTTACAGAGCTGTGCCAAGCAGGCTCTGGAGAAGCTGGAGGAGAAAAGCTCCAGTCAGGAGGACCTCAGTAAGTGGACTGGGCTGCTAGGCCATGCCAGAAGCCACTGCCACTAGCACTTTCTACAGCCCCTCAGCCCATCACCTCAGTTTTGTCCAAGTTGAAGTTGAGCCAGTGCCCTGCCCCCTTCACCAGCTGGAGGCCACAGGAGCAAGGGGAGCTCCGTAGAGTGAGAGGACTGACCCTGTCCCTCCTTCCTCCCTCCCCTCCACCAGGGCAGACGGTGCCAGTGCTTCCCACCTTCCTCCTGATGCACCTCCTGTCGCTGGCCGGGGACGTGGCCCTGCAGCAGCTGGTACATCTGGAGCAGGCAGTGAGCGGAGAGCTCTGTCGGCGCCGAGTCCTTCAGGAGGAACAGGAGCACAAGACCAAAGAGCCCAAGGAAAAGGTGCGGGGTGTACACAGGGGCCGGGGTCACGGCCCAGGTCCTCAGGATTTGTTTCAGAACCAGAACCTCGGTCAGAGACTGTCAGCCGGGGGTCTCCGCCTCTTTGCTGCTGCTACACTGGGGGAGACTGATAGAATCAGGAATGGGACAGTCTGTCTGTGCTCACTCAGGGAAGAATTTTAGGAAAACAGACTACAGAGCTAGGCAGCTCAGAACAGACACAAGACACAGGTGCTAAGACAGCATTAGATGTGGAACACTCCTGCCTCCCACCAGCCTTTGCTATTGGCCAGGCACCTGGCCAGAAACATGTCTTGCAGACAAATAGGCCATAAAGCCACACACAAGTGGCTAAAATCTGACCCTCCACTGACCTTGAGCCATTGGTTGTAATCTTGTCTGTTTATGACATATGGTATGTTTTGCCCTCTGAGGATAAATTAAGAGAAATAGAGACACCTACTTTGGCAACTGAAAACAAATTTAGAAAACCTAGTTATTTCCCTGCTCATTTAGGAATTCTTTTTTCGGTAGTATGGAGTTCAAACCCACGACCTAATGCATGGCAGGCAAGTGCTATACCTTTGAGCCAGATCCTTTGGCCTGTTGTACTCCAAGACAAGTTCTTACTACACTGCCCATGCTGGGCTCAAAACTGTGATCCTCTTCCCTGAGGCCACTGAGTAGCTGAGATAACACGTGTGTCCACTGAGGACTTCGTTGTTTTCAGTCCTTTGGACAAGTTTCTGAATGCTTCGGTATACTGCATTTCTTCAGAACCGTTCCTACAAAAGAAAGGTTTGCGTCTTCTCCCTTAGACCTCAGGCTCTGAGACCACCATGGAGGAGGAACTGGGGCTGACTGGGGCCACTGCAGATGACACAGAGGCAGAGCTCATCCGTGGCATCTGTGAGCTGGAACTGCTGGACGGTAAGAACAGTTGCTGTGGACAAATGAAAAAGAAACCCAAGTGCCTGCTTGGCAAGTGCAAAGTCATGAGTTCGGTCACCAGTACCAAAAAGAAAAAAAGAAAGAAGCAATTGCTAGGTGAGCTCCCCAAACAGGATTACCTGCCTCAAACACAGAGTTGTTCTTCCAACAGGCCAACAGTTACTGGCTGCCTTTATTCCACTTTTGCTTAAAGTTTGCAACAACCCCGGGCTGTACAGCAACGAAGACCTCTGCGCGGCTGCCTCACTGGCCCTTGGCAAGTTCTGCATGATCAGGTAGGCCTATGCACAGCGCCACCTCCTATGGGGCGAGGGTGACAGCTTCCCTGATGAGCCTCTCTTTCCCTCCAGTGCCACTTTCTGTGACTCGCACCTTCGTCTTCTGTTCACCATGCTAGAGAAGTCACCACTCCCCACTGTCCGCTCCAACCTCATGGTTGCCACTGGGGATCTGGCCATCCGCTTCCCCAACCTGGTGGACCCCTGGACACCCCATCTGTACGCTCGGTAAGGACCCCTCACGCTTGCTCCAGGTGCTGAGGTCAGTGTGAAAGTGGTGAGTCTCAGGGCTGGGGATGTAGCTCAGCAGCACGAGTGCCTGCTTGCAAGTGTGCAGCTGTGAGTTCGATCCCTGGTACCAAAAAAGAAGAAAGTTGAGTTAAGTCCAGGCATCACTGTCAATGTCTGCTTGATGTGACCTGTCCAGGCCCTGGCCCAGTGTTACCCAGGAAAACAGAAGCTTCACCACCTCACCTTTCAACTCTGGACAGCACCCTCCCTGCACCTGGGGATCCCTGCCAGGCCCCATCCTACCAATTCTAGGGCGTGGCTCAGCTCTGGATAGCAGGAACTTGAGCTTTCATTTCTAGCCTCCGGGATCCAGCTAAGCAAGTTCGGAAGACAGCAGGGCTGGTGATGACCCACCTGATCCTGAAGGACATGGTGAAGGTCAAGGGGCAGGTGAGCGAGATGGCCGTGCTGCTTGTGGACCCTGAGCCTCAGATTGCTGCGCTGGCCAGGAACTTCTTCAATGAGCTCTCCCACAAGGTGAGAGGGTGGGCAGGCAGGCGGCTTGCGCCCCACGCAGGAGTATAGCAAGGTCACCTGGCTGGTGACCTCTCCATTACTTCCCTCTCCCTTACAGAGCAATGCAGTATACAATCTCCTCCCTGACATCATCAGCCGCCTGTCGGACCCTGACGGTGGAGTGGAGGAAGAGCCTTTCCACACCATCATGAAGTAAGTTTCTTGGGACCACGGGCATATTTGTCAGTCAGAGCACAGGCTTAGGAAACAGACAACTCTTTCTATCCAGTTCTGCTTGTTAGTCTGTTGCACCCTCCAACTGAATCACACCTCCAGCCCAGCTATCCTCTCTAGCTGTGTGGTCTTCAGAGATAACTTGACCTCTCTGTGCCTGTTTCCTCTTCTGTGTTCCTGGGAACAGTAAAGATTCCTTGCTAACATGGTGGGCATGTGATCCTACTCACTGAAGAGCAGCTGTTCTTGGTGATTTCCTTCACAGTCAGAATGATAGGGCAGGCCTCTCACACGTATTGAGAAGGGTTCTAGTCTCCTATAAGGCAAGGACAGAGAGGGTGGTGCCGGGGATGGCCTGGCTGATCTCCACTGATTCCTCCTGCAGACAGCTCCTCGCCTACATCACCAAAGACAAGCAGAACGAGAGCCTGGTGGAGAAGCTGTGCCAGCGCTTCCGCACGGCCCGGTATGCACACCCAGGGGTCACTCACGGTACCGGGCCGTGGGACTTGGGGCAAGGGCCTGGGGAGGGTGGAAAAGGCGAAGGCCGAGCACCAGCCCAGGTGCACCTCACAGAGCTCTGCCCCTCTGCAGGACCGAGCGACAGCACCGCGACCTGTCCTACTGTGTGTCGCAGCTGCCCCTCACAGAGCGAGGCCTCCACAAAATGCTGGATAATTTTGAGTGCTTTGGGGACAAACTGTCAGATGAGTGCATCTTCAGTGCTTTCCTGACTGCTGTGAGCAAGCTGCGGCGCGGGGCCAAGCCCGAGAGCAAGGTGAGCGGAGCAGTCTGCTGCCCTCCGCCCTCCACTCGGTGCCCTCCGCCCTCCACTCGGTGCCCTCCACCCTCCACTGGCCACAGGCGCCAGCCACCAGGCACCTCCCCAGCCTCATCACAGTGGGTCACTAGAGGGCAAAGATAGGATCTTTCTGTCTCCAGTTCTTAACTGTTATTGGTATAACATTTAAGGTTCTCCCATGTGTTTTAGGACTCTGTTTCTTTTTAAACATAGAAGTAATAATGTTTCTGGGCCTGCCCTTGATCTTCTCTCCCTCCAGGCTACAATTGATGAGTTTGAGCAGAAGCTCCGTGCCTGTCACACACGAGGCCTAGAAGGCACTGAGGAACTCGAGCACAGCAGCCACAGAGCCACCCCTGCCAAGGCTCAGAGCACAGGTACGGAGGCCCTCAGTGGGGCCTGGCGCCTCCAGTAAGCCACACTCAGGGCTCTAACCACACTCTCTCCTTTCCCAGGCTCCAGGCGGCAGCGTCTGGCGTCTGTCAGCTCTGACGGGGACTTCCTTATGCCTAAGTCCTGCCGCACTACCCGTCGGCTTCCACACACACAGCGGCGCACCTCCAAGAAGAGACCCAAGATCGTCTTCTCCAGCGATGAGTCCAGCGAGGAAGGTGGGTGCTCTCTGCAGGCCGCGGGCACAGCTGGGACAGACTCCCCATCCTGCTGCCCTTCCCTGTCCTCCTCCCCACGTAGACGGCCTGTTTCTGTGTGGTGCACTGCTGCCCCGTTTATTCCGAGATCAGTCTATCACCATCTTTGTGACTCAGCTTTTCTTATTTCTATGATTCTTGGACTAGAGCTTTCAGCTGAGATGTCAGAAGATGAGACACCCAAGAAAACAACACCCATCCGCAGAGCCTCTGCCGGCAGGCCCAGGTCTTAGGCAGCAGCTGCCTGCTCCCTTCCCTGCTGTGCAGGGCACCTATAGGACGACCTCGACCCTGGCTTCCTTTCCCCTATAAAATACTTGTCTGCCTATCTCTGTTTTTAGGACCTGTGTGCCTTTAAAATTTGAGGCATTGCCCTTTAATAAGCTCTATCTAAACCTATTGGAGCTGCTCTCATTGTGCAATAAGGGTTCACTGGTCTCCTTATTTCTAGTGAATAAATGTTTTTAGATACTTTTGGACACTGTCTGCACCTGTCTGTTTCACCTCCCGTTAGCCCAGGGCCGGACGGTTTGCAGTGTTCTGCTGTACTCTGCTTCCTGGCCACTCCATTGTGCACAAGCCACACTCCTCAGCCTGGGCTAGCTCTGCTCCCAGACCCTGAACTGTGCCAGTCTGTCACAGCCCCAGAGAGGGACTGCTGCTAACTGTCCTGTGCCACACCACACCACTGACACACCACATCACTAACATGGTGCAAAACAGCAGTAATGCCAAGGTAGAGGAACTGGCTTGGCAGAGCACGGGCCTCTTCCACATGCCTTTGCTCCTGTCCACTGCACGTGTCCCCTTCTCCCAGCCCCTTGTCCATACCACACAGCATGAGATGTAGCTTCAGTCTGCTGAGTCACCTGAACAGAAGGCAGCCTGCGCCTGCGCTTAGGACTTCCTTGGTGTCTGCTGTCATGACAACAGCACACTATGCCAGCAGTGCTCCCGCCTGCCTTTTGAGGGGTGGGGGAAGTCATGAGGAAAGACAGCGCAGGCTAAGGTGCCCCAGAATGGCGCTTTGGACCAGCTGCTCAGGCCCCTGGGCAGGAAAAGCCTTGATGCGCTGGGTAGGCAGGGGCAGCTCTGCTTGGAAAAGCAAGGCTCATCTGCACGGCAGCTGGGGATCCCACCGCTCATCATCAGGCCCACTGCTTGGCCTGCACCTGCTGCTCACGAAAAGCCGAGGCACAAGCCATGCAGACTGCTGCCAGACTTGGGCACAGCCTTGGCTCTGGAGCCCCAAGACGGCAGGGCAAGGAGCTGGGGCTGGAGCCGGGGTGCAGCACCTTATGTGCTCCCTGCCTTTTAAGCAAAGGTTAAGGCCAGGCCAGCTAAACTTAGCCACAGGCTTTTCAGCTAGAAGGGCAGGGGGCTGGTATCAGGTGACGCTGGCCCAGCAAAGTGGCCCAGGATCCCCCAGCCCTGCACCTGTGATGGCTTCGTCCCTCCTACCCAAGCCTCCAAGACTCTCCCGCCTTTCCTCCATCCTCAGCTCGCAAGCCCCGCCCCAGGCTCCTTTCTGGAGGAAGATGGACTGCCCTCCCACCGCGAGGGAGACCTCTCCCTGCTTCTGACCTCTGCCGGACTCACCTCGCCCCTGCCCCTGGGGAGGAGCACAGTTTAGGGGCGTCCCTGACTCCCGGGCCGGCCTGCACGTCCCCGCGCAGGGTGGGACTTCCGCCCGCACGTCCCGGTCCCCGCCCGCGGCGCAGTGAAAGGAGCTCTGTCTGCTGGGCTGGCTGAGCAGCCCTCAGGTTCCCACTGGGCCTCCGCCTGCCCAGCCCCAACAGGGAGGCTGCCTAACCTGGGCCCCGGCCTGTGGGAACTGCTTGTGTGTAAGGGACCGGTTTGTCCGCTCCAAGGATCAGGGCTCCTGGCTACTGGGGCGGCGGGACAGCGTGACCTTAAGCGCAGGGACCTCCAGCCCTGCAGGTCCCACCGCCTGGTGTCCAGCCCAGGCCCAGGGAACCCCGGAGCCAGGAGCGGGCCTGGAAGTGGGGGCTGGGCAGGGTCCCTCCTGGTCTCTTCAGCGGCTCCTGTCACTAGCGACAGTTCAAGATCCCCGGCCTTGCCGCCCGCAGTCCTGGAAAGAAGGCGGAAGGGGGGGGCTGGCTCCTGTCCCCTTCCTCCCACCCCTGTCCTCCCGTTTCATCCTGCAGCAGTCGCACGTCCCTGGCCACTGCAGTCCAGGCCCACGGTCCCCGGCATCCCGTCCCCTCCCCCTCGGCCCCGAGCCCACACGCCTGCTGCGTGCTCCTTTGCGAGAGGGGGGGCCGCGCCGGGCTTTCCGGGCGCACGTAGCTCAGGCCTCGGCGCCGCGGGCAGCGACTGGACGGGCAGCCGGGGCGGGGCCGCGTGTCCCCGCCCCGCCTAACTGCTATAAAGGGAGGCTGCAGCCTACGCCGGCGCTCTCTGCTCCTGCGCGCCGCATCGGTATTCCTTCTTCCCGTGCAGTGCCAGGTGGAGAAGCGCGGGGCGCCTGCGGGGCTCGGGGTGGTCCCAGCGGGCGGGCAGGGGGCCTGGGGGCGGGGCAGGGCCAGCCGGGTGGAGCGGGACTGCCGGGCGACGGGTCAGGGACGTGCCCGGGCGCACGGGGGTAATGGAGGCCGCGCTGATGCTCACCTCCCTCTCTTCCCCCGCAGCCGCAACCCGAGACAAGATGGTGAAGGTCGGAGTGAACGGGTGAGTGAGAGCTGGGCTAGTGCGGAGCCTGGACTACGGCTGAATTGCGTCCGCAGGTGTGGCCGGGCCTGGGGTTTTGCAGTCACGCGTGGAGGTGCACCCCTCCCCAGCCCCAAGGAGAGCTCAAGGTCACCGCTCAGACTGGCGAAGGCCCCCGCATGTCCCCTGCTCCAGCCTCCTGCCCCTTCGCCCTTGCAGGGACGAGCTGCTCAGATCCCTGCCCCACCCCGCCCCAGAAAGATGGGGGAGGCCCAGCGATGGCCAGAAATCCATCCCCTGAGGCCCTGGGCTGGGGTTCTTTCTTTGCTTTCGCGCGTTGTGGGGTCACGTGCCGGGGACGAGCCCCTCCCCCACCTCTGCCGCCCGGGGATGCGGGATGAGTGCCCTGCGCATTAGCGGGTTTGCCGCGGTCACCCGGCTGCCATGTTGCAATAGGGAAGGAAATGAATGAACCTCCGTTAGGAAACCTTCCCTGCTCTCCTGCCTTCCTCCTCCCCTGCTGTGACTAACTCTCCACCCTCAGCAGGGTGGAGCCTCCTTTACCGGTTCTGGGTCTCCCAGGAGCTGGACCTGAGAACCCAGCTTCTGGCTTTTGTGTCTCTAGGGCAAGCCTCAAGCCCCTCAGTCATGTTGCTTTTTCTGGATAATTCTCAGATGACTCAAAAGAAGCAGATTTATGGGGAGTCTCGTGTCCGCACACCCCCCAGAGGTGTGGTGGCAAGTGGCTCCTTGCCAAGCAGGGGGAGCTGACTCATGGTTAGAAAATTTGCAACACAAAATGGCTCTGGTACCAGCAGCCCCTTCCCTTGCAGTGGCTGTTCTCTGCACCTTCCCTTCACAGCCCAGCTGTGACCCAACCCTAAAGGTCAGGCCGCAAAGGTCACTGTGAGGATTAGATGTCCGGGAGGCCCGGGAATCCTGCCCCTCTCCCCATCCCATCTTCCAGAAACCAGATCTCCCCACACCCGCCCTCATCTGAGGTTAAATATAGCCCCCCGACCTTTCTGTGCCTGAGGGCCTGGGCTCCTGCTCTCCAGCACCCCCTGCTCCCCACACCCATTGTTGCGCCCTCTCCTGATTGGCTCTGAGGAGGATGGGTAATGTAGCGAATAAGAGCCCAAGGATGAGGGGGTTGAAACCAACGTTTTCTCACTTTTTCTTTTTGGAGGAGGGACTTGGCAAAGGAGTGGGTTTAACCCTCTCCAGCTAGTGTGACCTTTACTCCTGCCCTTTGAGCTGGATGATGCTGAGTGGACGCATTGATGTTGCCCAGGAGGGTGTAGCTTGAGTCTGCCAGGCAAGAACAGAACTTCCCAAGCCAGGAATGGGTAGCAGCAGTGACAAGTTTGTGCCAAGCTTCTTCCTAGACTTAGTTGGCAGTGTCTCCCTCTGCTGCTTCTCAAAGGACTCAAGATGACTGAGTGTTAGGAGCCTTAGAGCCTGCTCACCTCTTCAGCAGGAAAGGTGCTTTCCTGCTTTAAGACCATAGTGTAAAGCCAGCTGGTCTGGTGGGGCTGCTCAAAGATAATTAGAGCTTATGGTATGAAAATTTAGTTGCAGTTGGCTCTTATATGAAATTCTGAATGTGGCCAGCTGGATAAAAATATTTGGGGGGAAAATTCTAGAAAGTTTTTAAAACAAGGTAATTTGTAGGCATTGTTTAGGAATTAGGGACAATTCCAGGGATATTTTAAAGTAACTTCAGGAGGCACTTGAGTACAGAGGATTTTTTTTTTTTTTTTTGAAACGACAGGGTCTTGCTGTGTAGTTCAGGCTGGCCTCACATGTGATCTGAGGGCTGAGATTACAGACATTAACCACCACACCTGGCCCTTTTAGTATTTGAGTAGGCTTCTGTTTGCTGAAAGAGGCTGCATAAGCTGTGGGCCTCACTTTGCACATGATGCAGCTGGCTGTCGTGTATGTGCCTGAGACTGTCCCCCATAAGAATTCTTTGCCCACCCTCTCACTTGTCGTATTGCCTGTGGTGTCCCACAGATTTGGCCGTATTGGACGCCTGGTCACCAGGGCTGCTTTCATGTCTGGCAAAGTGGATATTGTAGCCATCAATGATCCCTTCATTGACCTCCAGTACATGGTGAGTGTGTGCCCCGATGCCATAAAGAGGAGCTGCTTGTGAGGAAGCACTGTGACACCTTCTTGCCCCCCCTCCCAGGTCTACATGTTCCAGTATGATTCTACCCACGGCAAGTTCCACGGCACCGTCAAGGCTGAGAATGGGAAGCTCGTCATCAATGGAAAGGCCATCACCATCTTCCAGGAGTAAGTGCCCAAAACCCAGCGAGATGGGGAATTGTGCCCTGAGGGCATCTACTCAGATGGGGGCCTCTTTTCTTTACTCTCACAGGCGAGATCCCGCCAACATCAAGTGGGGTGATGCTGGCGCCGAGTATGTAGTGGAATCCACTGGTGTCTTCACCACCATGGAGAAAGCTGGGGTAAGTGGCCTGAAGCTCGAAAGCAAGAGCTCCCCACTCAGGAAGCCAGGGTTTGTAAGCAACTTTTTCCTCACAGGCTCACTTGAAGGGTGGTGCCAAAAGGGTCATCATCTCTGCCCCTTCTGCTGATGCCCCTATGTTCGTGATGGGCGTGAATCACGAGAAGTACGACAAGTCCCTCAAGATTGTCAGGTGAGCAGACAGGGCCAGGGGGTGATGGTGACCATGATGGTGGCAAGGCCTCCCTGACTTGCCCACTTCTTTCAGCAATGCTTCCTGCACCACCAACTGCTTAGCCCCACTGGCCAAAGTCATCCATGACAACTTCGGCATTGTGGAGGGACTCATGGTATGCAGTGTGTTACTGACCTTGTCTCCCTTCTGAGTCCATGTCCTGAGGATGGGGAGGGCACGGGTACTGTACTGGGCCTCAACTCTCTGGCTTTCCAGACCACAGTCCATGCCATCACTGCCACCCAGAAGACTGTGGATGGCCCCTCTGGGAAGCTGTGGCGTGATGGCCGTGGCGCTGCCCAGAACATCATCCCCGCATCCACTGGTGCTGCCAAGGCTGTGGGCAAGGTCATCCCAGAGCTGAATGGGTAAGGCTCTGTTGCTCTGGGGAGCGGGGAAGGGACACAGGCCTGGGGTGTGGCTCACAGCATCTCCATCTGTCTACAGGAAGCTCACAGGTATGGCCTTCCGTGTACCCACACCTAATGTGTCGGTTGTGGATCTGACCTGCCGCCTGGAGAAACCGGTACGCTGGGCAGGCTTGGGTGGGCTGAGGTTTTACCAGTGGCTGGGGTGGGCTGCACCGAGTATCTGCCTTGGTTTTATCCTGCTAGGCCAAATACGATGACATCAAGAAGGTGGTGAAGCAGGCATCAGAGGGCTCCCTCAAAGGCATCTTGGGCTACACCGAGGACCAGGTAGGTCCTGGGACCTGGAGTTCAGTTCCTTTCTGCACCTCAGAGAAGGGCTGGCCTTCCACACCAAGCCTTCTCCCTTCCCCAGGTTGTGTCCTGTGACTTCAACAGTGACAGCCATTCTTCCACTTTTGACGCTGGGGCTGGCATCGCCCTCAATGACCACTTTGTCAAGCTCGTTTCTTGGTAGGTGGCTAGGATGGCGCGGCAGTAAGGCTTACAAAATGTCCTGAGTTCTGGCACCTGTGGTGGCTGGTACAGAAGAGCTGCCTCTGATGTCCTTGGTTACCTTGCAGGTATGACAATGAGTTCGGCTACAGCAACAGGGTGGTGGACCTCATGGTCCACATGGCCTCCAAGGAGTAAGTGGACCCCACCTGAGCCCAGCGAGCCCAGTGAGACCATGGAGACTAGGCCTCACTGCAGAAGTCACTGCCCCACTCTAAGCCCCAACACTGAGAATCTCCCCTCCTCCCAGCTTCCAACCCAGGCCCCCTGGAGAAGGGGAGGGGCCTAGGGAGCCCTGGCTCATTGCACACCATCAATAAAGCCTGCTGCACCCAGCTCTGCTGTCTTGCTTGTTAATCCTGGACCAGGGGAGGAAGGCTAGCTGATGTCAAAGTAAAGGTCTGTTTACCAAGGCTAGATAACATTCTTTGATGAGGCCCATCCTTGTGCCTTTAAAGGCAGTCCCCTTTCCCACTTGTGCCTGTTCCCCGTGGGCACTGCAGAAAATAGGTCTCAAGACACAGAACTATCACCTGGCTGCCTGCCGGGAAACTGCACCCTGCCTGGCACCAGACATAGAAAATGGAGTTTTGGATTGCCTGTGTGATTGGCCTGGCATCTGACGTCTGAAGCAGGGTACAGTAGACTGTGGAGCTGGGGCACAAACTCCAGTTTTTCCCAAAATCATGGGCAGCTGTGTGGGTCTTGAGCAAGTTATTTACCTTTGTGTACTTTTTAAAAGGGGACTACGTCAGCCCTGCCCCTAGATTTGTAGACAACAGGTCAGTTGGGTCAACATGCAAGCACCTAGATGCACGCCCAGTAACCAAACTGTCGCTTAAGAGCCAACCCCTGGGGGAGGGAAGTGAACACAGGCAGGGTGACCTCTGCTATCAGGAGGCTCTTTTGTTTTAAGAAGTCACTTGTCACTTCCTGTCCTGGCTATTCACAATGGAAATAGTGCGTACCTCAGTTTAAGATTCTAGTTAAGCAAAAAATGCTTGAACCAGTGATAACAAAAGGCTCAATAAATACTATTCATGTTAATTTTTTTTTTTTTTTTTTGGTGCTGGGGATTGAACTCACAACCTTGTACTTGCCAGGCAGGCACTTTACACCGATGAGCTAAACCCCCAGCCCCTCCATGTTGATTATTGAAGATTACATTCAAACATCAGTGTGGCACAGCCTCCTAGACAGGTATTCGGAGATGAACCTCCTGGCTCTCGGCAAGCTTGCCCAAGCCTGTTGGCTTTGATGAGGCATGACTTAAGCTGACACTTGAAAACACCCTGAGCACTCACACACTGCACAGACCCACATGCAGGGTCACCTGTCACCCAGCAGTGACAGGCCAGCATGAGTTTGTAAACCCTCAGGATACCACACATAGCCTGCGCTCACACGTAGGCTGGGCTATAGGTTGTGGGGCAGCTGTGGGCAGTCAGCCCAGCTCCTCCCTCCCTCCACCCAACTAAGGTGCAAGCCTTGCATAAGCCTTTAGGGAACCTCTGGCTGGTCAGCTTCACACCAGTGCCTGGGCCACTGGACACCAGAACAAAAAACAAAGACACAGCCAGTCTAGATCCAGAGTGGAGGGCAGGACCTGGTTCACATTCCTTACATGATGGAGATGGCAGGGGTGTGGCATTAAGACAGGGAAGTAGCAGACACCCACACAGGCAGAAGCCACCCAGGAAGGGTGGGCCAAGCCTAGCTCCAGACACCTCATTACCCTGAAGGCCCAGGATGGAGTGAGGAAGGGAGATGCCCCAGGACCAGGCCTGGCTCACATAAGTGAGTGTTGCCTCTGCAAGCCCAAGCCCAAGCCCTCTGGGGTGAGGGAATAGGAGACCCTGCCAGGGTTGGACCCTATCTCATGGAGCTGTCAGATGAGACATCTCGATCGGAGTCCTCAGTCTCGCTTGGCGGCGGTGGCGGCGGGTCGCTAGGCGGGACCGCAGTGAAAGCAGGAGACTTTCTAGAAAAAGACACCAGTTGTCACTCTGGGGTCACAGGCAAGAAGCCCTCTCTCCCATGGGCTCATCCTCCAGCAAGTGGGTGGGTAACACCTGGGTATGATAGATGCAGGAAACAATTTGGGGCAGAGACAGAGTGCTGGCCCTCACCATACTGAGTCCCCGTCTTATACTGAGGGCTTTGACAGGCTCAGAAGGTAGACATATCCAAATCACAGCATGGAAGATACCATCTGAGCACAAGTACATTACACTGACTAGGGACTGGCTTTATTTCCATCTAATTTTCTTTCTTTCCTTTTCTTTTTTTTGATACTGAGAATTGAACTCAGGACTCCATGCCTGCCAGGCATCCAATTTTTCACGATAGGTCTCACTATGCTGTCAGGCTAGACTTGAACTTCTGCACTGGAGTGATCTGTGCCTCTTGTCTCCATCACCTGAGAGGCTAGGACTATACACACACACCAACAAGACCAGTTGTTTATACTTTTCTATATTTTTTGAATTATACCTCTTTGGCTGAGGTATAACTACCCAGGGCCAATGCACAAATCATGCCCCTGACATGACAGTCAGAACCCTCACCTGACCCTCGCCAGCACTGAGGCCACCTCCCTCACTCCAGGGGAAGCCCCAAACTGGAGGCACTGGAAGATGTCATCCAGCTGCACAGGGTGGGAAAGAAGCTGCTGGTCTGTGGCAGGCACCAGAGACTCAAGAGGACAGCCTGTCCAGAGGCACCTGTCCCTACCACAAAGAGCTCCAGAGCTCCATGGCCGAGACTCTGCTCCCGCTCCTTCTGTGTCACCTGGGGGCAGGGCCTTACCGGTCCCCAGACTGGGTGATAAGCCGGCGGCAGGTCTCCATCTGCACATCCAGGCCCCGCTTCATGCTGCACATTTCCATGTATTCGTGCAGGTGCCGGTTCATGTCGTTCTTAGCTGTGGCCAGCTCCAGCTGCAGTGGGGAGGGAAGGTTGCCAGGTTAGCAGGCCAGGGCCCGGAGCAGCAGTGCCTCCACTCTCCCAACCTGGATGCTAAGCAGACACTGAGCGTGCAGGCCAGGCCCAGGAGCCTTGGCTCAAAGTTCAGACTTAACAAAAACTCAAAAGCTGACAATTGTGGCTCACAGCAGAAATCTCGAATTCTGGGAGGCTGAGCCAGGAGGATGGCAAGTTTGAGCCCAGCCACTTAGAAAGACTCTTATCTCAAAATAAAAAATTAAAAAGGGGCTGAGGTTGTACCTCAATGTAAAGGCTCTAGGTTGAGTCCCTAGTACCACACACAAAAAATCAATCAACCTAATTAGAGGCAGAAAGCACCAAACATACTACATGTCTCTTCTTTCCTTTCCTTCCCTTCTTCTTTTCTTTTCTGCTTTTCTTTCTGTGCTGGGAATGGAACCCAGGGCTTCATGCATACCAGGCAGGCGCTCAGCACTGAGCCACCCTCGTAGCCCTTTCATGGGAAGCTGTCCACAGAGCAAAGCAAGGGCATGTGCTGCAGGCCTAAGAGCAGTGAGGAAGGAATGCCAGGTGGGCAGATGGGGTGGTCAGCACCTCACAGCACAAAGGCAGCATCTGTGCACGCACACATGCCTTTCCTCAAGGTCCCCAGGGCCAACCTGGCTCTGTCCTTACCCCTACACACACCATGCCAGCCCTGCCTGCCCCCTCACCACCATGTAAGCGGCTGAGGGCTGGGGAGGGTACTACTGTGCTCTGCGCACAGAGTGCTGCTTCGAGGAATTCAGTGCCTCTGGGAAGCAGCTCTGAGGTTCACAACAGAGAAATCTGGTTGCTGGCGAAGAAAATACTCAATCTGTCGAGCACATGACATGTGCCTATGATCCTGGTACTCTGGGGGTGCCGAGGCAGGAAAAATGCAAGTCTGAGCCCAGGCCGGGCAACTTAGTGAGATCCTATCTCAAAAGAAAAAAAGTTACTTAAAAATAAAAATTGTTAAAGGGCTGGGAATGCAGCTCAGCACTCCCTGGGTTCAATGCCCCATGCTGAAGGAAACAAAGAGGCTCATTCTCCTACCACTTCAGCATTTCCTCTCGTAAACCATCCCCAAACACTAACAGAACAAGACACAGGCCAACTTCACAATATCTTTGTGGGAAAACGAAGGGCTTGGGACTGAGATCGCTCCGTCCCAGAGCCCAGCTTGGCAGCCAAAAGACTCTGAGGCAGAGGGGGAGACAGGGTGAAGGCAAAAAAAGATCTGGGTCACAGACAATCAGTCCACTGCCTGTCTTTGTTTTGGCACAAAGGCCAGGGGCCAGGAGGACAGAATCCAGAGAAGCAAACTGCCGGGAGGCGATGTGCTCGAGTGCTTGAGAGCAAAGAGAAAGGGAAGGAAAGTTCGCCAGAGCGATGTGAACTGGGCAGAAGAAACCACCCAGAACTAATCGGACTTGATTGCAGCAGCACTGGGGACTGGAAGACTGAGACAGGTCACAGGACCCGACAAAGGGGCAGCCAGGACAGTGGTGCTCAGGGTGAGGTGGTAGCTGCACGGGTAGGAGCTGCAGCGAGGACGGCCGTAAGGCACGCCTGACGGCACAGCAGCAGAGGAGCAGGACGTGCCACCCATGCAGTGTGGGGGACACTGCAGTGTTGGCAGCACCCGCGCAGATCAGCTGCACCCTGGCCTCTTGTCCTCCTCTTCAGGGAAAGCACAGCAGAGGAGCTGAAGACCATCATTTGAGGAACAGGGAAGAAGGAAGTAAAGCAAAAATATTCTATCAAAACACAGGTGCAGTCGTGTATGACTGTAACCCTACCTTCTTGGGAGGCTGAAGCAGGACAATCACACATTCAAGTCCCACGTGGGCAACTGAGTAAGACCTTGTCTCAAAAAAGGGCTGAAGACACAGCTCAAGAGTAGAGCACCTGTGTGTTCAACCCCCAGCGCTATAAAAATAAATACAGGGCTGGTGTCTGCCTATCCAAACATCCCTCTAAATTCATGCTCCTTTAAATCTTTTTTTTTTTTTTTTTTTGTCTTTTTCCTTTTTATCGGTACCGGGGATCAAACTCACGACTGCCTGCTTGCAAGGCAGGCGCTTATGCCACCGAGCTAAATCCCCAGCGCCTAAATTCATGCTCTTAAGGCAGGGGTAAAGTAGGAGGATGACGTATCAGGGGACAACTTCAGTACCACCTCAAAAACTCCAGACTTGGGTGCCGTGCAGAGCAGCACTCCTTTCCTCTGCTCTTTCTCTCCCGCTCTGGGCTTTGCCACCCACAAGTGGGACATTCATCTCAGTGACCCAGAGAGATCCAAAGTCACAAAGGTAAAGGAACCTGAGGCCACCAGCCTGCTCCCCTCACTCATTCTGTGGGGTGAGGAGGGGTCAGGTGGCTCAGAAGAGCTTTAAGGATGCTTCCTTCCAGTGTTTTCTGCCAGATTTCCCTGCAGGGGGCGTGGCGGGGATTGAGCCAAAGGACCCTGCACTGAGTTATATCCCCAGGCCTTTCTATTTGTCTTTTTTTTAAAGGGGAAAAAAAAAAAAAGCACAGAAAAATCAAAAAGCAATCAAGCAAACAAACAAACAATGACAACAGGCCTTCTATTTTTGAGACAGGGTCTCAATAAGTTACAAAATTGCCCAGGCTGGGCTCAATTTTGCAGTGCTCCTGCCTCATCCTCCTAGAATGCTGAGATCATAGGCATGGCATGTACCAGGTCATGTTTTGAACGAGAGATGCAGCCGCAGATCCCTTGGTCTCTGCTAGGCGAAAGGCAGAGTGGATACTAAGTATTCCATGGAAAATAGGTGGGCAAGGCTCAGAGGCAAGGAGGGAGGGGTGGAGGCCACAGTAAGACAGGAGGACATGGGACAGTGACAAGTTCAGCTCCTATCAATGGCCTTAGCTAGGACGAGAATACTGGCTGTGCTTCTGAAACTTAGCATTTGTTTGCCTGGACAAGAAACATAAGAAAAACAAGCTTTGTTCAGAGAAGCAGGACCATTGGATTCCTGATAACAGAATGAAAATCTAAGCAAAAAATTGCACAGGTCCTCCTTCAGATGCAGCAGAGAGAACACTACGAGAATCAGAACCTGCTCCACATGCTGGAGGAAGGAGCAAACATAAGGCAGAGGTCTCCTGCCTTAGCCCCACATTAGTATCCCTGTAACAGTCACCTCCCATCCAGGCAGGGCACTCACACAGTCCCATCCAATCATCTGACCCAAGGGCCCCTGCATTCTGCCGCTACACAAATCCTCCTATAGGCTCTAAGGGCGCCCAAGGCTAGATCCCTCCAAGAGCTCAGAGGCCCAGCTGAGGTCCCGGGAGGCCATGCCTGAATGCAGTTGAGCTGCTGGTATTAATGGGGTGCTCCCCTGTGAACCGAGCCCACCCTATGCATACAGGTATCTCTTCATTTAATCTTCTGAACACCCAGGGTGCGCGGTGTGCTCCATTCCCATTTGACAAAGCTACAGGCTCAGAGAGAACACATGAATTGCTCCAAATCGAATGGTAGGAAGTGACAGAGCTGAGACTTGAACTGATATACCTTTGCCTCCAGAGCCCACGGTCTCAAGGAGCATGGGCAATGCCATGGTCACTTCTTCCTGGTGACAGAAAAGGCAAGAGCCAGCACACCCATGGCCTGGCTGGTGACCTCTGGGGACAGGGACAGCACATACCCCTACCTCTATCTGGTCGATGGTTTCCTGATACTCCTTCTCTCGGGTTTTGAAGAGGGACTCAGTATCTTTAATCACCTTCTCCAGGCTGTCTTCTTGCTGCTGGAGGAGAAAGGGAAGCGAGGGGAGGCCGATCAGAGGAGGGCGGAGAAGGAGAGAGAGAGGAGGTCAGGTTAGAAGAGGCTGCAGGAAGAACAGTAAAGGACAGACAAGGAGACACAGGGAGCAGAGGGAAGCCACACGGGGAGACAGAGCAAGGCAGGGGCCAGGCAGGGCTCAGGCTGGAGAGGCGGCACTGCAGGCCTGAGGCGGGAGGGGTGGTTACCTCTCCCTGGGCCTCTGCCGCTGCCATGGCATAGCCTGAGAAATCCTCCCACAGCAACAGGGTCTCCTCAGTCTCCTCCCAAGTCAGGCTGTCACAGTCGTCCTCAAAATCATACTCCCTCCTAGAGACAGGAACCCGGGTGTCGGCGGGGCCTGGGGAGCCGGCCTCGGTGGGCAGGCGGGCAGACCCGTGGGACTCACAGCTGGTTGAGCATGCGCTGCATCTCCTCGTTGATGCTGAGGGCCGTGCTCTCCTCCTCCTCCCCATTGGGCTGGCGGGGCCCGTCACTCTCTGACATGGAGGTGTCCTCCTCGACAGCAGCCTTGCGCTCCCGCTTCCGCCCCCCCATGGATGGGACCTTAATGGGAGACAAGTGCAGAGACTACAGAGCCGAGGCCGGGTGCATGGGGGAGAGGGCGGGTGGGGAGAGAGCGCGAGCCAGCAGGTAGGGGGGCACACAGAAGAGACACAGTTACGATGACAGGAACAGAAACAGCAAAGTCACCGACAGACAGGCAGACACACACGGAAGGGCAGGGCTGCAGACTGAGAAGAGAGAGGGAGAGAGAGAGAAAATAAAGCAGTAAGATCAAGGGTGAGATAGTCTGCTGGGGCCACACTGAGAGGGCTCTGATGGCTAAAGAGGACGGGTTTTCTCTAAAGAGAAGTCTTTCATCAGAAAAAATTCAACTAAAAGGAACATGGTAGGCAGAGAACTCAGCTCGCACCCAGATCCAGAAGGCCAGTGGGAGGGAGAAGGGCGAGGAAGAAATTATGTAAAGGGGAAAAGACTGAAACGGGGAGAGGAGCAAGGGACACAGGAGGGAGAAGTCTGTGTTGGAGCGTGGCCTAAGGGGGTGGCTTAGAGCCTGGGACAGGACATCGATAAGCTTGCACAAGATCAAACTAACCAGCTTCTTCTATGGAGAAAGCAAGAAAGATGGAAGGAAAAGAGGAGAAGCAGACAGAGGAGAGAGAGAGGGAGGGGGAGATGGCGTTAGAGACGGCTTCCAAAACTTCTGTCCTGAGGCTGCACTTTGCCCCCCAGCCTGGGCCCTCTGGGAGCCCCAGGGACCAGAGAGATCCCCTGAGAAGGGGCAGGGCCGCCTCAGAGTGGCCAAGATGGAAGCTTCTCCACCTGCCCCAGCCCTGTCCCCAGAGTGAGGGCAGCCCAGGCCTCTCACCTGGAACATCTGGATCATGTCCTCACAGTTGCGCTGCTGAGCCAGGTCGCACAGCTTGGCAGTGATGTCGATGCGCCGGCAGATGTCCATATCTACCTTCATGGCCTTCTCCTGGATCTTGGTGTCCAGCTCTGACAGGTTCTGCCCAGGGAGCATAGGGGAAAGTGAGGAGAGGCTCAGTGCCTTCTTAAGGCCTTGGCAAGATCCTCATCCTTCCCATCATGTCCACCACCTCCTCCATGGAGTCCTTGGCTCCCTTTTCTCCTTTTTTTTTTTATAGGTACCAGGGATCAAACTCACGACTGCCTGCTTGCAAGGCAGACGCTTATGCCGCTGAACTAAATCCCCAGCCCCCTCCCTTTTCTGAAGCTGGCTGCTTTGATGCAGGCCTATAATTCAGCACTCAGGAGGCTGAGGCAGGACAGCCTAAAGTTCAGGAACATCCTGGGCTCCATAAGTGAGTTCAAAGCCAGTCTGAACTATATAGTAAGTCTTTGTCTCAAAAGAGAGGGGGGCGGGGCTGGGGATTTAGCTCAGCGGCATAAGTGCCTGCCTTGCAAGCAGGCAGTCATGAGTTCGATCCCTGGTATCGATAAAAAACGAAAAAGACAAAAAAAAAAAAAAAAAAAAAAAGAGAGAGAGACAGACAGAGAGAGATAAAATGCAAGCAAGCCATTTCCCTTTTCCTGGGGGGCCTCCCTACACCCCCAGCCAGACAAGAGCTTCAAGAATGTGGCCCAGAGGTTGGAACAGGCAGGCACTCTGGATCCACAACATTCCTAACTCTCCTAGAACCTCAGACTCCATAGAAAGGAGACGATGGGCATCGTTAAGCGTGGAGAAAGGACCATAATAATAATAACGACAATAGCTAATGCTTATTAGCACTATGCAGGTATCTGGCACTGCCCCCATGTGCACCACTGTCCTCACAACAACCCTGAAAAGGACCTGCCCTTACTTCTTGGTTGCACAGGAGAATACAGTGGCCTTGCACGCTGGCAGGGACGGAGTTGGCCCTGAGCTTACCCAGCTAACAAGCTACAGAGGTTACTTGGGAGCCCAGGCAGCTGTCCCAGGGCTGCACTGTCACTAACACTTCAGGACAGCTGGCAGGGATGGGGCTACATCACCCCTATGACACAATACAAGGCTTTTGTTCCTTTTTATCCCAAGTTAAGAGGGTAGCATGGGAGAAACAACTAAAGGGATGGTAAAATGAGGGCAGCAGCAGCAAAGAGTGCTGATGAGCCAGAGCTGGACTCACATTGCTCATGAGCCCCTTGAAGACCACCAGCTCAGCTTTCAACTGCTCCACCTTCATGGCCAGCTCCTCTTGGCAGGCATCAGCCTCTTGGGCCTCCTGCAGGCAGGAGGAAACCCGATATCAGGATGGGGGGCCAGAAAGGCAGCACCAAGGCAAGGGAAACAGGGGCCGTGGGGTGGCAACCCTCACCTCCTGGAGCTCGTTCACTCGTTCCTGCAGCTGGATCCGCACTGTGTACTCCTCTTCCCACCTGCAGACAGCAGGAAGGAGAGCACATAAGTCTGATGACCCTCCTCCCCTACAGCTTGCTCCCTGTTCCCACACCTGTCTGACCCCTAGATGGGGACATGTGGCCAGCCAGTGGGTGGCCAACTGCAGCTGTTGGGAGGAAGGCTCTGCACTTTCTGGCAAGGACCAAGCTCACAGCTGCCTTCCAGGAACCTCTAGGCCACACACCAGAAACTATTTAATAGCAACTGTGGCCACCCTGATCCTTTTCCATGCCCATCCCTGCTAGGTCCCCAGCTCTACCAGCTTCACACAGCCACATCGCCCTCCTGCCCACACCAGACCACCAGGCCCACCCGGCCCAGTCTCCCACCTTCAATGGCACAGATCCGGTCTCCCGCCTCCTGCCCGCACCAGAACAGAGCTCGTCTAGCCCGCTGCCCTGCCTCCTGGGGTACATTTAACCCTGCAAAAGCATCTGCAGGACACAGGCCAGGTCACCAGGGCTGCTCAGGAGCTTGAGGGAAATGCTCACAGTCCTAGGGGCCCAGAGTCTCCCAGCAGCACAAAAGCAATGGCCATCAGCAGCCAGGGATTACTCAGCACCCAGACTGGAGGGAGAAGGAATGGGAGCATGGGGAGCACCTTGCTATCAGAGGGGCAGCCTCTCCTGCCTTGGAGAATCCAGAGACAAGACCATGACCACAGGAGACAGGAGACACTTTTGCCCATCTCCCAGGCTGGGGCAGCACCTATTCCACCCCAGGGATGGGAAGAGAAGCACATGCTGACGAAGCTTAGGACTTGGCTATGTCACTTCAGGGACCAGGGTGGGCTGAACTAGCAGCACTTCTCACAAAAACTCATCACTTCTCGCTACATTCTTCAGCCTGAGAAAGGAAGAACACTGCACCAAGAGAAGCCTCCATGGAAGAAAGCAGGCAAGGACGCAGCAAAGAGCACAGTAAGAACACAGACATCCCTGGGAGGAGCTGCTGCGGTTGGGATTCAGCCTTTCTACCCCTTCCTGCCATCTCACCCCCTCAGCTCTGGCCTGCCTACTCTCCTATGCAAAAAATGCCTGGATCATAAGCGCACTGCAGTGCTCCTAATAATAGCTCCTGCCTCACCTCAGGGCCCCTCCCACTGGGCTGGAAGAGGCTCCCCACTGCAGCCCAGCTCCCTGCTCCTTACTTGCCAGCCACACATCCCTCTCCTTTTGCTCCAGCACTGAGGACCCTATGAGCATGAGGGTACGAGTTTTCTTAGATAAACCCTGCTGTCTTCTGGGACTTTGCTTCTTCATCCACAACATGAAAGCATAGGATGCAGTACCCTTCTGTGCCTGGAGTCCCTGAGTCACTGGTAGAAGCCAGTGAGACTCACAAGAAGCCAGTAACCCTGCACAAAATATATCCCAGAGGGCAGAAAGTATTGTCTGACAGCGAACTCTATGGATTGGGTGGAAAAAACTCTGAATTAGACTAACAAATCTGAAGATGAATCTTTGGGAAGCTCACTGGGATTCTCTCTGACTCTCACATAACAGGTTCATTTTGACTTCAGTTTGGGTGTCATCTCTTGGACAAGCTTAATATGGGTAGAATTGAGCAGCCTCTGCAAATACTGAATTCACCAAGCACCTCTTGCAAATAAGCTACTGTATATCCTCAAGCTAAAGGGAGAAAAAAGTCACACAAAGCAGGAGGGCTGAAAATAGAATCCAGAAGGTCTCAGCTCCTTCCCACTTTAGTATCAAGCTATGCCCAGGCCTTCCTGGCCAACCACAGGAGGTACAGTGTTACCATAATCAGTCCAGAAGAAAGGCAAGGGATCTGGGGTGGAGGAATGAGTGCTGCCCGGGTCACGTAGCATATGTAGCACATGGTTCTAGCCACAGGGCCCTCTGTACAGCAGAGTGCTGCAGAGCGATGAGCTAATCCCATCCCCAAGGAGTAAGTCTTTGCTGCCCTGGACAGCTGGACCAAGGACAAATACTCTCTCACTTATTAAAAAAAAAAAAAAAAAAAAAAAGAGCAGTTGTTCCTGTGGCTGTGGACATATTCCAGAACTGTATTCTGCTGACTGTGTTCATTAACTCCTGTGGGGGCAGACTGGTCCTAGGTAGCGCCTGGATGATGGTTTCAAAAGGACAACTAAAACCCCTGAGACCAACTGTCACATGGACCCTACCTCTGGAAGCCAGCTGGAAGACAGGACTCCAACTCAAAATGCTTGCTGATCTGTGTTCTGGGGGCTATAGTTATGAATCCCTCCAGGTCACCCCCATACCTGGTGGTTTCCCAGAACACTCAGCCAGTTCTTGCCCCACTGGTAATCCAGTCACCAATCCCTATCACTTTGAGCTGCAAAGGTAGTCCCAGTCCTACCCACCATGGATGACAATAGCAAGATAAGACTGAAGCCCTTAACCAGGCCTCCTCACTGTCATTTCTTCCCCCTCCACCATGGGCCTGGTCAGTCTGCAAAGCGCTGGCCCTGCTTGAGTTCCTGTTGTAACAGGCCTGGTGACCAAGTACTAGGGAGACTACCCAGTAAACAGCCAGCAGTCTGGTACCACATCTGATCTCCCGCTTGCTCCTAAAGCCACTGCACTGAGGTAGGGTTCTTCTCAGAAGCAAATCTTCATCCTCAGACCACACAGGACCTGTCCTGAGCTGCCCTAGGGCTGGAGAGTGTGTATTCCCAAAGTTTTCTTTCTCAGGCCCTCTCTGCTGAGTCTGTTCATGCTTCCTTGGCCAAGTCTCCCACCAGCCCTAGGACAATCCCTTCCCTTTGCCCCAGTGAATCCCTGCACTGTTCTTTTTCCATTTTCTCACCTACTCCAATGCCTCAAAGTCCCAGAGCCTTTCATATGAAACAAGATCACATACCTGGCTTCTCTGAGCACGGCTTAGGGAAAGCCTGGGTAGAGACAGGAACACCCAGAACAGGGTGCAGACCCTCTCCTAATTTCACTTACTTTACTTTTCCAAAATATAGCTATATCCTTTGCCTTCTATTTCAGCTTCGTGTATGGAGGTTATACCCTAAAATTGTCCCAAGACCTGAGACTAGTTGGACAATCAGTACCCCAGATGCACGTCCTTTCACTCTTTACAAACCACTCTCCTTTCAATACAGTCATCTGAATACTGCAGGCAAAGGGAGATGTGCCAGAAAAGACTGTGAATTCCCCAGTGTTCTGCTCTTAGCATTCTCCAGTCACGAGTCTGACTTCTGCATTCTCCGTAGACCCCAGGCTTCCTGTATCCTGTCCCGGTCAGGCTTCTCAACACACAGAACGTTAATCGTGTTCTGTCCACCTTGATCTCAGGCCCTCACACACCCCCGCCCCACTGTGCATGGCGTGTCACTGAGCCCTGGTCCCCACTTCCCGGCCCCTACCTCCGCTTGTACTCGTCCCGCTCTCGCTTTACTTTGGCCAGCACGTTGTAGAGCGCTCGGATCTCAGGGGTGATGGTGTCGATCTGGACGCCCACCCCGTCAGGGTGCACCCACGACAGGCCAGGCCCCTGCACCAGCGTGGGCTCCAGTCCTGGCCCGAGCCGGCGGGAGTGCGAGAAGGACCAGATGGTGCCGGGCATGAAGCGGGCCGACGACGAGAAGGCGGAGGCTGCGGAGGCGGAGGGCGGCGCGGCACAGGCGGGGGAGCGCGCCGCCGGGGAGCAGACGGCGGCCGGCCGCGCGCCCAGCGCCAGCCCTAGCGGCCGCACCGGACTGACGAAGCCGGTCTGCACCGCCTGGTCTCGGCGCGCTGAGCCCCGCCGGCCCTGCTTACCCTCCTCTAGAGCCTGCTGCAGCTGCTTCTCTAGCAGCCGGTTCCGGCGCTCCAGCTCGTGCACCTTGGCGAGGAAGCAGCGGAAGCGCAGGTTCAGCGTCTTGAGCACGCTGATGTTGGAGCCCAGGTCGTTTCGGAGCGCCATGGCGGCAGGGGGCGCGGGGCCCGGGCCGGGCGGTGAAAAGGCGGCGGGGCCGGCGGGCGCGAGCGGCGCCGGGGGCAAGTCCCCACCCCCAGGGAAGGGGTCACCCCCCAGACTGTCCCCCAGAGGCCCGGCCAAGCCCTGTTGCTCCTGCTGTAGGAGGAAGAGGTTGGGACCGAATAACGGATTCATGGCTGCGCTTTCTGCCCGAGATGGAGCCTGGTGCTAGAGCCGGAACGAAGGGAGAAAGACAACCACCAATGAGGCACGCGTGGGATCTGGGGGACCAATCAGAGGACCTGACAAAGGGGCAGAGGTCAGGAGGCGGGCAGAGAGGCAGCCAATGGAAGACCCACACTGGAGGCTGAGCCCTGGACCTCTCCAGTCAGAGGCCCTTCAGGCAGAAACTACCTGGATCTTAAGCAAGAGAACACAGAAGCTGGGACCCCTAGCACGCTGAGTTCCGGTGGTGGGAAGCCCATCCTGTCTGTACCTCTATCACCCGCTCTCACGGAACACCCAGCTGGGACCCCACCACCTCTCCTTCCCTGAGGCAAGGGACAGCAGGAGCCTGAAACTGGCCTCTCATCTCAGTCAGGCCCACCAGACCCTCAGAGGACGCCAGTCCCCACCCAGTCCCCTCAAAGAACAGACCAGAGGTGGTAAGATGTGTATTAAATTTCATATGTATGCACAGTGGGGAAGTCACAGGAGAAAGCAGCATTCCAACCCAGCGACGAGGGCATCGAGCCAGGCCAGGCTATTCTCAAGGCCTAGGAAAACAGCCGCTGCCGGTTACTCCCAGAGGCAGTCTTCCTTTTCTTTGCTGGTGGGGGCCGGCTGGACTTGAGCGGGGACACAGTGTGGACCTGAGGGTCCTTGGGAGTGCCATTCTCTTTCTGGAATTTGGCTTTTTTCCCAGCCCCTTTGGCCTTTCCAAGGGTCTGACCATGCTCGTTCAGCCGGGGGGTGGCCTGAGTCTCAGAGAGGGATGGCAGAGAAGGTGTTCCAGTGTCCCTACCCTTGGGCAGGGTGGACTGTCTCAAGGAAGCAGCTTTCTCGGAGGACTGTGATTTCTGTGCCTGTCCCTTTAGTTTCCCAGTCCTCTTTGGTTTCTTGGGCACATTAGCTTTTCCAAGGAACTGACTGCTATCCTGGAGCCTGGAGGACATTTGGGCCTTTGTAGCAGAAGGCACAGTGGACAATTCTGAGTCTGCCCCTTCAGAGATGCCATTCAGCTTCTGGAAGGAGGCCTTCTTGGGACGTTGACCCTTCTGCAACAGTGGCTTTGCTTTGGTGGCTGCTTTGGCTTTTTTGGCTGGCTGGCTGCTGTTCTCAGATTTGGAAGAGTCCTGACCTTTCAGGTCTGGCAAATCTAGGTTTTTAGAGGTGCCTGTTGCAGAATTTCCTAGGGTTAAAATTAAATAGACATTTGAGATGGGTCTCATAATTAAATGATCTTGATTATTAGCAAAGAAAACAAGTAGAAGTTATTAAAATACAGGAATTTCCACCTCTTGGCCAAGTGTTCTGCACAATTAAGATAGTACCTAAGACCTGATCACCTAGGTTCACATTATTTGTCCTATTTGAACTTGTGTAAGGTGGTGTGTAATTCCAGATGTTGAAGCATGAGGATCACTACAAGTTCAAGACCAGCCTGGAATACATAGTGAGTTTAAGACCAGCCTGAAATACATACAGAGACTCTGTCTCAAAACAACCAGAGATGGCTGGCGATTTAGCTCAGAGGCATAAGCACCTACCTTGCAAGCGCACAGTTGTAAGTTCTATCCCCAATACAAAAAAACAAAAAATAAAAAACAAAAATCAAAGATGTTCTCAGGCCAAAAGGTTTCACAGAGAAATACGCCCCCTTGAGGACAGTAGGTAGCAAGACACCCCTAAGGAGAACTGAGTACTGGCATTTCTGAATAAACCTGAAAGCATTAGGCTTTTTTTTTTAAAAAACAAAGACAATTTCCTCCCTAATGGAAACTCTGACAAAATGCAATAATACATACCCATGTAACAAATGGAAACAAGTTAGTAAAGCATCAACGAAGATGCACAAATACGTACTTAGGTACTTAAGATTTTTGTATGTTAACATTCAGATATGACTTTTATTGAGACATTTTTAAAAAATATTAGGGCGAGGGGTGTAACTCCATGGATTGTGCTTAGTATGCACAAGGCCTTGAGTTTAAGCCCTAGCTTTGCCAACCCCACAAAAAGAAAAGCAAGGCGCTGAGATGAAGAAAAGAACCAATGCAAATCATACAATTTGTATTCAGAGAAGCTTTTGTGTCTGCCATTAAACTTAGGATTATATCCCAACATGCGATGCTCTCAACTCTGTTTCAGAAAACCCCACCCGTGCCCTTGAGATCCAGGCCAGCCTTAAGATGGCCAACGAAATGATTTGCAATTTAGCAAGACAGGCTCAGAGAAATGCTGATAGTTCACAGTGCTTGTGCCAAGCCAGTGCTGAGAATGCTGGAATGGCAGAGCTGTATTACCGTAAGTCAGCTCCAGGCCAAGACAAAAAAGAAACCACAGCCTGTGGCTGAAATGCATTAGTGGTCCAACAGTCACAGCCACTGAGTAGAAAAAATGAAAACACTCATCTGTATGAATACTTCAACGTATCTGAACGTGATCCAGGGCTCAAGAACAATTCAGAGGAGACACCCAAGTGTGCTAGGCCTGAGATAAGCAAGCATCTATTTTTCTTCCCTGCAGTCACCATGAGGGATCCAGAAAGGCACAAGGAGCAAAGTGGCCAATGAATGTAAGAGGAGCAGAACGCTTACCTATTTCAGCCTGAGGGATAGAATTGGAGAATTTCTTGAACTTAGCAATGAAGAAACCATCCATATTATGGGTGTGGGGGTAGAAACGCCGAGTGGAACGCAGGGTGGGATGAAAGCGCCTTTCTCGAAAGCGGGTAAAGCCTTCCTGGCCAAAGTCCAGGCCTGTGGGCACCAGCCGCACATTCCTCTTCTTCAGGGCATAATCCACCACCCACTCATTCTCTTCCACCTGGACCAGAGGGCAAATGCAGCCAGCAGGAGACAGGAAGGGGAGCTGAAGCTGTGAATTTCTGAGGGCCACACGCCTCTTCCCCTCCCAAGCTGCCACAGTAAAGCCCTTACCATGATGGAGCAGGTGCAGTACACCAAGTAGCCACCAGTCTTGGAAGCAGCATTCACAGAGTCAATGGCACTCAGGAGCAGCTCTTTCTGAAGGTGAGCACAGCGCAAGACATCCTTCTCGTCCTGTCCCAAGGAGACTGGGGTTACTTCATGAGGCCCCGGGTGCTCCTCCACCTCACATCCCTCTCCCCAGAGCCCAACCTTCCTGGCCCCAGCCCACACCTTGTTGGTCTTCACAGCGGGGTCCTTGGAGATGACCCCAGTGCCACTGCAGGGAGCATCCAACAGGACTCGGTCAAAGCCGCCCACCACCTGGGGAAAGGAGCAGGTCAAGTACATCTTTCCTACAATCTGCGGTGAGCATATCCTCCCTGGGGGCAAAGCTGAACACTAATGTCACAGAAGTAGACAGTCCAACCTTAGGGAACTGGCGCCCATCATAGTGGCTGATAATGGCATTGGTGACTCCCAGGCGATGCAGGTTGCCCACAACACTCTTCAGCCGCTCGGCATTGGCATCGTTAGCAAGGATCACCCCTGTGTTCTTCATCAGTTGAGCTAGAGGGAGGCACCGGTACTGAGCAGCCAGATCCACTGCCCGCATAGTCCTGCCCCACATCCAGCCAGGAACCCAAGGACCAAGTTACCTCCCTTCAATGCAACTTCACTCCCAACAACCCCTGCTCCCTGCTATATAGGTCTGCCCAGCTGCTGACATGGCTTCCATTCTTACTGAACATCTTTTAGACCCACAGACTAAATTACTGCTGTAATTTATGAAGCTGGTAATAGCTTCATAAAATGACTCACTGCTTATTATACACTTGACACTGTGCCACTTTTGGGTTTGTTTTTAGGGGTTTTTGACGTAAGGTCTCAATATATAGCTCAGACTGATCTTGAATTTACTGTTTAGCCCAGACTGGCCTCAACCCTCCTGCTTCAGCCTCCCAAGTGCTGGTGTTACAGGTATGTGCTATCACACTGAGGATGTCTAAGTGTACTGTGTCAACCTGCACAACCTAGTGTAATGTAACAGCCAGCTCAACACAATTCTGACACATACCATTTTATAGATGATAAAAGACAATGAGAGGCCTGCCAGGTCAGATGGGCAGTAAATACGCAGCACCGGAGCCCAGACCCACCCCAAAAACTGCTCCTCACCACTCTGCCAGCTGCCTGGACAGTGCCAGGAACAGTAGGCAGTCACCAACCCCCTTACTTTCAAAGGCAGAGTAACAGAGGAGCCCCGCACCCTTTCCTACCTATGTAGCTGGTCTTTCCTCCAGGTGCACAGCACATGTCCAGGATCCGTTCATGTTCCTGAGGCGCCAAGGCCATGACTGGCAGCATGCTAGAGGCTCCCTGTAGCATGTAGTGCCCAGCCAAGTACTCAGGAGTAGCACCTGAGGGGAGAGTGGGGGAACCACTCTGTGACATGCTGAGACAAACACAGGGATAAAAGGGCTATTTGGCAGGGGACACTTACCAATGGGCACCGAAGAATCATACACCACAAGTCCAGTCTTTGACCACTTGCCCAAGGGATCCAGGTTAACTCCACGATTAATTAGTGCCTAAAGGTGGAAGATGGAAAACCTCATAGGATACTCCAGCCAGCAGACGAGGGAGGCCAGGCTCACCAGCTACTCCACATACCCCACTCCTAGACTGATCCCTCAGAACAGTGAACTGACAGCCTCCTCCTCATCCCATCTGTGGTGCCCTTGCCTGTCCACTATCTACAGTGCTGGAAATGGATCCAGGGCCTTGTGTATGCTAGGAAAGTGCTCTACCACTGAGCCACACTCTCAGCCCAAACCTTTCGTCTGCCCTAAGCTCCTAACTCAAAATCTAAGTTCTCTTTCAAAGGATCAAATTCCCCTATCCTGTTTTCTTATTTCTTAGAAGTGGACCCTGATTTTCCAAGAAGCTCAAGCCTTCTCTCATTCTAAAATGTAACACTATTTGTTATAGCACATTAAAGATAATTACCAAGTTATTTTTACCCTATAAGATACACAATACACAAAACCACACTGTACAACAGGGACCTTTAGGGTGCGAGTCAGCTTCCCAAACTTCTCAGTGACCTGCCTACAATTTTCTCAGAAGGCAATTTACTAGGATGCAGGTGTCTCATCCCAGCCACAGGGAATAGTCTAGAGAAAGGAGTTTTCATCCCTCAGCCTGCAACACTGACACAGATCTCTCCAGGTTTGCCTCCTAGGATATTCTTAGGTCCTAAAAGCCCATCCAGCCAGGGTGCAACAGGGAATCCTGTCAGAAGAAGCTGGTCCCTTTCCAAGACAGACAGACTCAACACCAGTCCTTCACCTGAGCAAGGTCTCGACGCCGGGTTTTTAAGGTATTGGTCCTGAGGGTGATGGGCCGAGGGACTTCATTGGCTTCCAAGAATTCTATGAGCTGGGAGACAAAACCGCAAGGTCTGAGTCAGGTTAGCCAAGGGACTTAGACAAGAAGAAAGAAGGGAGCTGAATGTTCTCATCATGGACTAAGGTGAGTGAAAAAGGACAAGAGGCATTATTAGACTGGCCATTCCATACCTCAGACACAGGGAAGAGCTCCATGAGCTTGCCAAGCAGGAAGTCTCCATAGGAGTAATAAGTGGCCAGATCCTTCTGAAGTCGGTTCAGATACTCAGAACGAGATCGGCCTTCTTCACGCTGCACCCCAAAATCACGCAGTACTCCTACTATGTCCTGGATCCTCTTGTGAACTCGTTGCAGGTCTGGAGCCTGGGTATGTGGACCTGCTAAGGAACCATTTCATGCAAGTGTAGGGCTCAAAACTCCCTTCTCTCCAAAACAGCTTCCTCCTCCGTCTTCCCCCAGCTCCCGAAGGATATCCTGCTCCATCTCCCCAGCAGGGGGCAGTATAAACTCCTCCTCATCCACATTAATCTGCAGGCCCCTATCTGCCTCATCCTTTGTGGAGCCTGACTCAGGGGACATTTCTTCCTCTTCATCGATCTCCTCATCACTCCATTGGTCCCTAGAAACAAGTCGAGGAATAGTGATTCACAAACCAAACAGACACTCTCAAGCCCAGTGGCTGCCTCTCCACCATACTAAGAGTTTCCCAAACTCACCCAGCAGCAGCTTCCTGAGCCTTCTGCTTCCGAGCAGCTCTTTCAATAGGCAGCAACTGGAAAGACAGACAAACAGCTGACAATGCAAGCCACCCTTCCATCTCCCAGGTCATACTGTGTACCCCAATATTTTATTTCTAAATATAGACTTAACACTTGCTCTTAGAAGCAAATACAGAAACTAAGAGTAAGATTTAACATAAGCATTGGGGATGTTGTTCAGTGGGAAGGCGTGCTCATCATGCACAAGGCCATGGGTTTGTTCTCCAGCACCAAGAAGACCTGATACAAAGTTGATCATTGCTGAAACTAAGTGATGGGTTGAAAGGTTTGTTACATTGTTCTACTTTCACATGTACTGATGTAAAAGAAAATGAAACATACCTGTATAACTGTGTGTGTATATACATATATATAGAACATAAACTGCCCTTCCCTACCACTTTGTCACATTTTCTTTTAGATCTTATAAAAGTAGTTCAAATCACAATGCATTCTTAAGTTTGTTTCTTGTTCAGTTTAGTTGACCATGAGCATTTCCTCAGACATAATAGCCAATGTTAACTCATCAGATGCAGGAACTATAATCTGCTTAAACATAGTCAATGCCTTGGCAACTTGTTTTTGGCGATTATAATGCACATGGTGCTTATAAACTTAGTAACTGCATATAGAAGGGGATTGTGGGAAAGAGTGCAAATGGAGCTGGGCTAGGGATGTAACCCAGTGGCACAGGGCTTGCCTGGCACATGCAAGGTCCTGGGCAGCAATTAGGGATTTTGTTTCCATCCTGCTTGAGTTAACAACATACTAATATGCAATTGTGCAGTAACTTTTTACATCTCACTAAATAACATTTGCCTACATTTTGTATCACCTTCTAAAACAGAATTATTAAATTCAAAGAAAAATACTTTTTTTTTTGGAGACAGGGTCTTGTCATGTTGATCCAGCTGGTCTCGAACTCCTCCTATACTCCAGCAATCCTCCTGCCTCAGTCTCTCAAATCGGTGGGATTAAAATGCCATTGTACTAGTCCCAAAAGAAGCTTTTCTGAAGTTCTCAAATCACAATTATTAAAAACATGTTTACATGTCTGTTCACATTGATGGGAGGCGGGGTGGCAAACAAGGGTCTACCTTCCCACATCTTCAGTAGCAATGAGTAGTCCCACTTTTTAAAATCCCCTATCCTACAGCTGTTTCAAACTTCTGTCAGAGACAGGACATAATACAGTAGGGAAAGATCGAGGAAGACCAAACAACAATGAACCAGCCAGGTTATTCGCATCAATCAATGAGGGGTAGTTTCAAGAATCTGGAAAGAATACAAGATAGATAACTGCACTACTAATCTCTGTTGAGTCATTAAAAACAAGTTTGTGCTTTCACTGTTCCACTGTTTGATCTTTTTTTCATGATGGTATCTTATAATCTCAACAACTACTTTGAAGATAACAATATGCAATATATTAACCAATGTTAATCTTCTATTCTTTTGTTTTGAAATTCTGTATTTTTATTTTTTTCATTTTTAAAATAAAAATAAACCTAGAAAGAAATTAAAAGGCAAAATCAATCAGTGAATACTCAGAAGTAGTGGCTCATGCCTGTAATCCCAGCACTCGGGAGGCTGAGGCAGGAGGATCGTTCGGAGTTCAAGATCAGCCTGGGCTACAAAGTGAGTTCAAGGCCATCCTGAACTGCACAGCCAGACCCTGCCTCAAAAAGACAAAAAAAAAAACCTCAGAAGTCTCACCTTTTCACCCTCATCCTCTGAGTTCAAGTTAGCTCCATAGTCATCTACCATCTCAGCATCACTGTCCTCAGAGTCCCACAGGGCCCTCTGCTCCACCTCGCCATCCTCCTCAGAGTCTTCCTCCTCCTCTTCCTCATCACTGCTGTGGGCTGGTGCTGGACGCTTCTTGCCTTGAGTGGTGTTAAATGAGGACTGTGCTCCCTTCTTACCAGGTGTCTGGACTGCTTCTGCAAAAATCCCCAAGGATTTGAAGAATCCAGAACTAAAAAGCAAACACACTGCCCCGCCTCACACCCTGGCCTGTAACTCTCCACCCCTGGGAATGGCTTCCGGCTCTTTTCCACACCTTGATGCTCAGCACGCCTGTCACCACCTAGGGGATGTCAGAGCCCTCCAGGACACCCAATTTCTTTCTTTTTTTTTGTCTTTTTTTTGAGACAGGGTCTTGCTAAGCAGTTCAGGCTGGCCTTGAGCTCACTTTGTAGCCCAGGCTGGTCTCAAGCTCGCAACCATCCTCTCACCTCAGCCTTCCGAGTGCTAGGATTACAGGCGTGAGCCACCATGCTGGGCAGGACACCCAATTTCTATTTCCACTGACCTTTCCGTAGCTCTCCAGGTGACAGTTTGGTCCCTAGAGGTTTACTTGTCTTAGAGGCTTCAATAGACCCCAACCTTCTCTTGGCCGCCCTAAAAGATGTAAGAATTGAGAAGAAGTAATGTCTCCAGCTAGTTCACCTCTCCCAGGAGAAAATGACACAAATTACAGCTCTCTCCCTCAACCAATCTCCATGTAGCTAAAGATGAGCAACACCAATTTAATCTACCCAAGTTTGGACATCCACGCTTACCTCTTTCTAGCACGACTGGACAGTCTCTTGGAATTTTCCTCAGCAGCTGCTTTAAAATAAAAGGCAGAATAAGACATCCCCCCCCCAAAAAAAATTTAAAATCCAAACTGAGCCTTCCTCCAGGTTACAGTGAAGAGGAACATCATCATTCTGATAAGAACACCAATTCAAAATTTTCTCTCTCCTTTTCCTTTATTCTCAGCTTACTCAGTTATCAACCATAGATCTGACTTCACGAATATTATTTTTTTACACTACCAACACATAAAAGGCACAATCTCAGCCCTCTCGTTTAACTCTTGACGTCCCGTTTTAGAGAATGACGTTATACAGTTGAGTCCTAAAAGTTCCTAGTAGGGGGCTGCACAAGCTTGCTAATTCAAAAAACTGCAGCCTTTGCCCAACACCAAAACTCCCTCTGCAGCTGTCTCTCCCACCTGATCTCCAGGAATGACTTCTCACCCCTTCAAGCTTCCTCATCTCTCTCCATCCCGCCTGGTGACTGGCTTGTCCCACTCCCAAATCTCACTTGCTAAAATATTACTATTTTCCAAATTCAGCTTTACAAATTCTGCCAAGAAATAGACTCACAATGAGAAAGGACACCTCTCCTTGCACGAATATTCATGCCCCGTCGCACCCTTCTGCCCTACAACTGGCTTCCACTAGCAGTGCCTTCCTTCTGAGTAGGAGGCGCCTCCACTGAAAGGCTACAGGGCAGAAACACCAACCTGCAGGTAGGAATCTGACCAGCTCCGTCTCGGCGCCCTTCTGTTTTCGGGCCTTTCGGCCCGGCCCACGCTTCTCTTTCGTTGGGTCCAACTTGCGCCCCATGCTATTGGAGAAAAGTACGAGACAAATCGGTGTCTCAAGTATCGGAGAGAACTCAGGACCGCAGCTCTGCGACAGCGCCGTAGGAAAAGGCCCTCGAATCCCTCCCTCGGCGACAAGCTTGCGGCCGTCGAGCCCCTCTCCTACCCAGGGTGCACGGTATCCTTCCGCACCCGGAATACCCGCAGACCCCCATCAGGCCTTGGCCTACCCCAAACCGAAGCACGCCTAGCCACAGCTCTAGGGTAGGTGCAGCTCCACGTGCACTCCTGGGAGTATGGGGCTGCACAGGCCGCGGAAGCGCATTGCGCATGTGCATGCTCACTCGCCCCGCCCCTTCCGGTCTCGACAGCGACCTGCCTGGGCGCTTTCAGAGCGCAAGATCAGAAGACTGCCTCGGCCGGCCGCTCGGCCTGTGGGAGCTGGCTTCCGCCTCAGGGCTATCCACTGCTTAAATCCGGTCAGCCTGAAGTGCCGCCGCCTTAAAGCTGTCCTTCCGCTCCGCTGGAGCGCAGCGGTGGGGCTGCCCACCTCTGACCTCACCCTTTCTACTCATTAAGGGGTTTCCCTTGGCTTCCACCCACATCTAGAGGTCGAAGTTCCGCTGGACTTTGCAAGAAAAGCCTACTCAGTTCTTGCTGAGTGAACCCTAAGGTAGTGTTCAGCATAAAAAATAATTCTTTTGGGTTGACACAGTGACTATGTAGCCCAGGCTGGCTTTTAATCTTTGGCAGTCCTCTTGCCTCAACCTCCCAAGTACTGGGATCATAGATGTGCGCCCCCATGTCTGGCCTGATATGAAAATCTAAATGGCCAGTGCCACTCATCCAGTGATTACATGTCTACCTAGCACGCATGATGCCCTGGCACTGTAAAAATCTGCAAGTCCCGGGACACTTTACCCTCAGAAACAACTCCAATGTGACAGACCCTTCAGGCAATGTCCAGACAGGCCCAGCCCCCCGAAGTACAGGGGTCTCTGAATGGGGTATCAGGGCTCTGCAAGAAAGAGCAGCCCTTCCTTCCTACCCACAGTTGCTGAGGCTCCTTCCATGCCTGCTGTCCACCTCTGCCTTACACCCACACTGAACCAGAACACTAAAATACAAGGAAACTTTTATTTTCAATTTTCATCAAGAAATTTGCTGTAGTTTTTTATGCTTTTGGTTTTTTCTTTTTCTTTTTTTTTTTTTTTTTTTTTTTTCTTTCCACTTTATTTTTGCCGCTTAGTGGCTGGAGCCGCTGGGTTCCTGGTATTAAAAAGATGCCAACAGAGGTAGCTGTGTCTCGCCCAGGGGCCCGGCCCACTCTGAATACCCCCAAAAAGGACAAAAGAAAACAAAATAAACAAACAAAATAAAACCAAAAGGAGGAAGAAATTCAGATCATTTTCTTCAAGCCTGGCAGTAACCCACAACAGTTTGTGTGTAACAGAGGTTACAGTGGGGAGAAGCCAGGGTCCAGAAGGCCAGCCCGCCAGCTCCCTGCAGATGGCGCCGGCGCTACTGCTGCGTGTCTCTTCAGCAGGAAGGGCACTGCTGCCCCTCACTCCCTCCCCGTCCCGGTGCCCAGGGCTGTTCCTTTACATGAAGATGGGCAGAAGGCAAGGGTCTCTCAGGCGCCTTGGGGAGAAGCTGGGACAAGAGAAAACTGCTCAGCTGTGGAGGTGGTCACCACCAATCCTGACGGTCACTGCTGCTGGGCAACCTACAGGGAGACAGCCAAGAGTTAGAATTCCAGACCACAGAACTGCACGTGAGCCCAGGGGACTCACTGGACAGTGCAGGTGCTACCCGGGAGTAAAACTAGAAACAGAGCAAAAATACAAGTCCATAAACAGTTCTATGGGAAGATCTCACACAGAGAAGAAAATGGTCCTAACACAGGTATATATTTATAAACTGCATTGTTTCTCTGGTGTGAGAAACCAAAGATGTAAGTAAGGACCAAAATGTATAACAGATACTGTGAAATAGGAAGAAAATGTGCAAATGGGGAAGGGAACTAGAGATGGGAGAAAGGGAAAGGAAGGTAGGTAGGAAGGAAACAGAAAAAATGATGAGAAAAAATGGAAACAAAGCTTTTGTAAATAAGAAGGGTTCAAGAAAGGGTAGGGAAATGAGGGGAAAAGAGAAGTTCTGTCATGTGCTGGTACAAACTTTCTATAATGAATAAGGTATCACATATACCTAAAATGTAACAATAAACTTAATTTAAAAAAAAAAAAAAGGTCCTACCTGCTGTGGAGGCGGCTCTGGTGCCCGATTTGCTAGGCGGCTGAGAATGTTCCGCTCTGACATCTGTAACCTCACAGCAACCGGAGGAATTCGGGCAATGGTAGCTGGGAGTCGGGTCACATCAGCTTTCATGTCGCTCAGCAGTTCTTCCAGCTGTTTCAGAACTGCAGAGAGGGGGAAAAGGTGTTCAGCTGTGGTGATCAAGATGGGGATCTTCAAATCTTTTGATCTCATCATTTTTTTTTTTTGGTTCTGCTGAGATAGGGTCGGTTCAGGCTGACCCGAACTCACTCTGCAGCCCAGGCTGGCTTCCAGCCTGCAGTGATTCTTCCTGCTTCAGCTTCCCAAAGACTACAATTACAACATACGTGGCCCCTCACTTCTTCATGACTAGGTCACTGTGTTGTCTTTTGTCACTAAGTCACCGGATCTGGCCTGTATCGTGCTCAAATTCCTGTTCCTGAACTCTAGTTCATTGCCTCATGGTTCTCTGCTTTTTAATGTCATCAGACTTTACCATTATCCCTTGCTCATTATTGTCTGCATTTCTTTCACTTCTCCAGAGAAGCTTGTTCCTGCTGTTTCCTTCGCAGTCTTTTTGCCTCCCTGTCTTGTAGATCTGTCTCCCACTTCCTGTTACAGCATTCTTCTCCTCATTTTACCCTCCACCTCCTCAGAATGTTTTACTTTAATTAGAAACAAAATGCTGAAAAGGGTCTAGAATTTAAAGAGCTCTTAAATCACCTTACGTTATCTCTAAAGTATCCCAAATGACACTATTCTGCTTTACTTTGCATCTCAAGAACATGACTATATTAAGGTCAGAATAGGCAAAGAACTACTGCTGTCCATGCCTGCTTCCCAGGGAGAGATCCTCAGCATACCCTGAGCTCTCTAACAGGCTGAAAAAGGTTCTAGTCAAGAATTACACAGGTGTTGAGAAGGGATCAGTGGAGCGGGGTGGCTCCATCACAGGAGGCAGGGGAGCCACTGACTACCTTTGTGCAGGACTGCATTGGCTGGTTTGTTTCCTGCCATCGACTCCTTGGACAGATGCTGGTGACTTTCTGCCAAACACTCCACCTCGGCAAAGCGAGTGTTGAGGGCCATGGAAGGGTGAGAAGGGTCCTCTGACATGTTCAGGTAAGCCGCCCTGCGCAGCTGCTCCTCAATCACCAGCGCTTGTTCTAAGAGCTGGACACAAAGACACAGAGTCAGACTGGCAGGTCATTTTGCTCACTTCTCATGAGCCTCTCAGCTCAGCCTTCTCCAGATAATCAGCCTATAAAGAACTTCAGGGATGGCTTCTTGACATCACTGCTCACAGTCAAGCAGCTCAGCATTACACTGCTTTACTCTCTCCCACTGCCAGTCCATGTCTCTACAACTTTATTCTTCAGATTGTCATATACAAACACAATAAAACCTCAACTGAGAAAATACAAAAGACAAAGAGATATAGGGAGGAGGTGGGGGAAGGAGACATGAAAAATGTGTTGTGTACATGCACCAAATCCCCATAACCAGTGTGATCATTATGTACAGTAAACATATACAAATAAAAATGCTTAAAAAGGAAAATACAAGATACAAAGTGTCACAGGAAATCCCACTTACATACTGTTAACATTCTAATGTTGCTCTTTAAAGATTTTTCTATGAAAAAAAAAAAGATTTTTCTCTGCAGAATCTTCTTTATATTACTGAGACTTTATTCTACATAAGCACATTATGTTTTCACACAAAGTTGTATAATCAGCACCTTTATTGTTACTCTTCAAAAACACAGATTTGTTTTTAAATAAGACACAAGGTCTTGGGTCAGGGATTTACCTCAGCAGTGTAAGCACCTGCCTGGCAAAGCTGAGGTCCTGAGTTCGATCCCAGGTTCCAAAAAAAAAAAAAAAAAAAAAAAAAAAAAAAAAAAAAGTCTCACCAAAAGTTGTAGAGTCAGCACCTTTCTTTATTGTTACTCTTCAAAAACATAGATTTGTTTGTTTTTAAATAAGAAATAAGGTCTTACTAAACTGTCCAAACTGGCCTCCAACTTGCAGTCTTCCTCGCAGTCTCCCAAGTAGCCAGGGCTATGGCACATAATCATTGTGCCCAACAAAAACACATTTTAATGGTGGCATCATGGTAACCCACCCTGTGGAGACATACCCTACCACATCCTTTTAAGTTCTTTTACCTTTAAGAATACTTTTATTAGATTTTTTGTTTTGTTTTTTGAGACAGGATCTTGTTATGTAGTTTAGGCTGACCTTAAACTAACCTAGGCTGACAATGAACTCATGGGGTGAGTCTCCTGCCTCAGCTTCACAAGTAACAAGGATTACAAGGTTTTGCCACCAACACCTGGCTTGTTGGATCATATTAAGTGGGGAAAGGGGCTGGGGATTTAGCTCAGTGATGCAGCACCTGCCTGGCAAGTGTGAAATCCTGAGTTGATTCCCAGTACCCCTTCCTCCAGAAAAAAAATCTATAAATGAGGAAAAACTGAAAGCTTTCCCTCTAAAACCAGGAATAAGGGCCAGGGATTTAGCCAGGTGGTATAAGCACCTGTCTGGCAAGCTCGAGGTCGTGAGTTCAGTCCTGGGTACCAAAAAAATAAAACAAGATAAAAAAATAAACAAAACCAGGAATGTCCATTATCACTACTCCTGTTCAATACAATAAGCAAAACTTCATAGACAGAGAAAGCAGGCAAGAAGCTGGGTGTGGTGGCACAATCCTGTAATCCCAGCACTTGGGAGGCTGAGGCAGGAAAACTGTTTGCAAGTTCAAGACCAGCCTGGGCTACAAAGTGAGCCCAAGGCCAGCCTGAACTGCATAGTGAAACCCTGCCTCAAAAATACAAAAAAAGAAAAAAAAAAAAGGGCAAGAGAAAGATAAATTCTACCAAAAGACTCCTAAAACTACTAAATCCGTCAAGGTAGCAGAATACAAAATCACACAAAAATCAAGTGTTCTGGGCTGGAGATTTAGCTCAGTGGCATAAGCGCCTGCCTTACCTGTGTGCGGTCATGAGTTCGATCCCCAGTACCAATAAAAAAATTTTTTAAAAAAATCAAGTGTTCCTGTAAACCAATAATGGACCTTCAAGAAAAATAGGAATTAACAAA